CCTGCAACTCCGCACCACGGTCATCTGTGATGTGCACCAGGAGCCAAGAGAAGTGCAACGCGAGTTCAATGATACATAAAACAGAACTTGGGTGACCTCCTGCCGGTCCTTGGAACTGGACATCAGCCTGTCAACTGGTCAGAAGCCAGGCAGCGAGGCATGGCGATACAAGGTGTCATGGTTTGGCCTGAAGACACCACATACAGTATTTAAACTGAGCTTTTCAGGATAAAAATATCTTTGAACATCTGCAAAGAGCCTTTTTTTTTTTTTTTGAGTCCATGGTGCTGTGCGCAAAAAACAAGTATACCAAAAACCGTACATATGAACATATAGGCAGGTGCAGTCTGTTTCCTCCACTGTAGGTGGCGCTTGACTGGAGAGATATCGAAGGCGGAGAAGATGTCCAGAGGAACCTGGTTTCTCTATGCCAGGGGTCTCCAAACTATGGCCCATTATGCCTCTGTGAGTCTTGCCTGTGGCTGTCCTTGGACTTGCGTTGCACTTCTCTTGGCTCCTGGTGCACATAACAAATGACTGTGGTGCGGTGTTGCAGGTCTGCGCATGATATGGGTTCTGTAAAGCATTGCCTTTGTCAGCAGAAGGGTCAGCGGTGTCCGGGAGTGTTAGTCAGGACAGCGGGCATGTTTCATTTGCAGTAAATCCCGGGCGTGTGTTTGCTGTCCTGCTGACTGAACAGTGCCGGGCCTCATGGTTCCTCAAGGTTCTTGCAAGGCCTCATAGTTCCTCAACACCTGGAGGGCCATAGTTTGGAGACCCCTGCTCTATGCTATCTTGGTCCCCCAAGGCAGTGTTTTGGTTGGCTACGCTGCATCCAGGAGACCTCTAGCGGCCATCTTGGGTTGGCAGAGTCTTTATAAGTCCCTGCCCCTAGGTTTTGGCGTGCATTTGCAAAGTGGGCAGTGTAGGAAAAGAGAAACTGTCTGTTAGGGATAGTGACTAGTGGCAAGGTACGGTTCCTGATGAGTAGAGACAGGCTAGGGACACTCCATCCTTCATTGGAAAGCCTCCCCTTTTGGGACTGGACCGGCCAGGCCATATTCCGCCCTCTGAGACAGACGCTGGCGGTGCATGTTTACCCGCTACATCTCTGCATTACACGGCATTATGAGCGTTAATTGATGGGGCACGCTCCCGCTGGGTTGTTTGTAGCTGAACTTCTACAATACAACCTTTTATGTTCTCTGCAACCGGACTCTGTGTCGTTACTGCCGCTGCACCTATCCACAAACACACACAAAAGAACACTTAGGGTGTGTCATATGGTCCCCTTCTGAAGAGGAAGTACCCTTCACTTACCCCCCCCCCCCCCCCCCGGGACCCCGCCCTGTGTGCAAAACTCCTGACAGGGGCACAATCCAGTCCACCTAGCCAAGAGGCATGGTGGTCCCTGCTCCTCATGATCAGCCAAAGCCAGCCAATGATTTGTCAAGGTCCTACCTTTTCCCAGAGGTTATGTTACTCCATGTGGTGGCATCCATCTTGGATTTCTGCTGAGCATGGTGGGAATCCTTTATGCCTTCAGGTCTCAGAGGTCCATCCCCCAGAGGGGTGTGGCTGATGACATATAAGCCTGTGGTCCGCACATGCTCTTGGCACTTGTGTCTTGTGTCTTTGTGTTGCTATTACTCTGTTCTGACTCTCGTGACTCTCCTGGAATCTGACTCGGCTTGTGACTCGACTATTCTTTGCGTTCTCCTTTGATCTGACCCTCTGTTGCTAACCCGTCTCGTGACCTGTGATTCTTGTCTGCTGTCCTGTACCGTTTTGTCCCGTTGTTGTTGACCCGGCCTGCCTGACTACTCTATTGTCTTTTCCACCAGCTACACGCCATTGGCGGCGGCCATTACCACAACTGAGGTGTCTCGGGGGGCCGCAACCTGGTTCCTGGCTGCGTCAAGTCCATCCCCACCATCAGGGGCCCTGGTGAAGGGCAGCCTGGGACTTAGACTCCGCGCCCTGAGGGACTTCGGTCTGTGGGTGGTGGTTGTCGTCAGCCAGTGCATTACATTGTTTAGGCCTGCCTGTCCGTTCCTCAGCTCTTGCCCTGACATGATTACTATGTGAGGGGCTCTTCCAAAGAGACTTCATAGTAGGCCAGAGGACCCACCAACCATCCTGAGTAAATAAAACACATATAAATGCAAGTGACATATGTGAAGAGAAACATAAAACAAAAGGGCCAGTGCAGGTGTATTGGTCAGGTCCTGCAGCCTGGTAACAAAAATTGACCTGGTCTTGGACAAAAGTCATAACCCATAAGGTGTTGAGCAGAAAACACGAGTGGTGTTGTGGCCTAGTGCCCTTTCTGACAGTGGGGTTCCAAGCCCATACCAGGAGGATCCCTGGGGCAACACTTCGACCCCCTGGCCTGACAATGCAGCGCTGCTCGAATCAGAAGACAATGGGCCCTTCAGAATCCTCTGCACTACTACTGACCCCACCTTACCCATGGGGCACCTAATTTCGTTTTTTTTCCCATTGGGGAGATCCCTCAAGACCCCCATCATGCCAGTAGGGATACTCTACAGCCAGCCATCCCAGCCAGAAGACAAGAATGATGGTGGAGCAACCCTGCTGGACACTGATAAGAACAGATACTACACTTGGTCTTGGCCAAAGAGCTGCCTCTGTTGATTATTTTTTAAATGATTGTTTCAAATGGAGTGGAGAGGAGTTAGACCCCTTGTCGGGTGTTTATTGCATCCTTTGTCCCTGTTGGAGAGGTTCAACCTTGACTTGGTGACCACAATCACCTGGGTTGAAAGTCATGGGAAAAATCAATTGAATTGTCACCAAAACAGGAACAGAGGGGAAATCCTCCAATGGGGAATGTTGTTCTGATGAAAACTGTCTAAGAGGGGACAGGGCTGTATGTACTGTATGGCAAAAGGGGCAGCTGCCCCGAGCCCAGTCATTATTGTGGGGTCCCGAGCAGCTGAGCTGCCCCTTGAGCTCGTGCTGCTGACAAATAGTTGATATGTGGATTTGGCTATCACTCAGCAGAATTGAATGTTGGGTGGTGATTGATTGGGTGTTATGTCTGCAGCCTGTATGCTGATTGGACAGCTTGGTAAGGTGAACCATTTCCAAAGCACAGTCACACTGACCCCTCTCCCTCACCGTGTCTGACAAGCCCGCTGATCAACTTCTTCACCAGAGGGTTCGGCGGGGTGTTCCTGTTTGTCTGACATCCTCTGGACACTATCAAGATGAGACCACTGGGGGGAAGAGGGGTGGTGATGCAGGGGTCTGTGAAGGGAGGGAAGGGGGTCCTGTGTAATGATGGGGTTGGTATGCGGGACAGACCCTGTGCAATGATGGGGGTGTTATGGAGTAGGGGGCCCTGTGTAATGATGGGGGTAGTATGGGGGAGGGATCCTGTGTATTGATGGGGTTGGTATGGGGGAGGGGTCCACTGTAATGATGGGGTTGGTATGGGGTGAGGGGTCCTGTGTAATAATGGGTGTAGTATGGGGGAGGGGTCCTGTTTGTTGATGGGGTTGGTAAGGGGGAGGGGTCCTGTGTAATGATGGGGTTGGTATGCGGGACAGGCCCTGTGCAATGATGGGGGTGTTATGGAGTAGGGGGCCCTGTGTAATGATGGGGGTAGTAGTGGGGGAGGGATCCTGTGTAATGATGGGGGTGGTATGGGTGAGGGGTCCTGTGTAATGATGGGGATAGTATGGGCGAGGGATCCTGTGTATTGATGGGGTTGGTATGGGGGAGGGTCCACTGTAATAATGGGGTTGGTATGGGGTGAGGGGTTCTGTGTAATAATGGGGGTAGTATGGGGGAGGGGTCCTGTGTTTTGATGGGGTTGGTAAGGGGGAGGGATCCTGTGTAATGATTGGGTTGGTATGGGAAAGGAGTCCTGTGTAATGATGGGGGTAGTATGGGGGAGGGGTCCTGTGTATTGATGGGGTGGGTTGGTAAGGGGGAGGGGTTCTGTGTAATGATGGGGTTGGTAGGGGGGAGAAGTCTTGTGTGATGATGAGGGTGGTAAGGAGTGAGGGGTCCTGTGTAATAATGGGGGTATTATGAGGGACTAGCCCTGTGTATTGATGGGGTTGGTAAGGGGGAGGGGTCCTGTGTAATGATTGGGTTGGTACGGGGGAGGAGTCTTGTGTAATGATGGAATTGGAATGGGAGAGGAGCCCTTTGTAATGATGGGGGTAGTATAGGGGAGGAGTCCTGTGTAATGACGGAGGAGGGTGGCCCTGTGTAATGATGGGGGTAGTATAGGGGAGGAGTCCTGTGTAATGACGGAGGAGGGTGGCCCTGTGTAATGATGGGGGTAGTATAGGGGAGGAGTCCTGTGTAATGATGGAGGAGGGTGGCCCTGTGTAATGATGGGGGTAGTATAGGGGAGGAGTCCTGTGTAATGATGGGGGTAGTATGAGGGAGGGGTCCTGTGTAATGATGGGGGTAGTATAGGGGAGGAGTCCTGTGTAATGATGGGGGTAGTATGGGGGAGGGGTCCTGTGTAATGATGGGGGTAGTATAGGGGAGGAGTCCTGTGTAATGATGGGGGTTTTTTTTAAGATAAGTGTGTGTGTTCGTGTTTTTGGGAATGTTGAGTGGAGAGCAAAATTGTATGGGAGGGGAGAAAAAATGATTGCCCGGAGTCCATCAATATTAAAGACAGCCCTAAGAGGGGGTTTATGTCATTTGGGAGAATTTTACTCACAATTACAGTTGTAACTAAATCGCAGGAAGTGAACGGAAATCTCCCCAACTGGACACAGATGGCAAAAAAAAACATTTTTTAGCCTTTCCCAACGCCCTCCACAATGACTTGGATTCATTGGCTCCAATCCCGAGGTTCTGAGTACATGATTGGTTCTTCTATGTGTCTCACAATTTAGTGATATCTGTGGTTCTCAGCCTAAATTTTTAAAGCGTCAAACTGGCTCATCCTGAAGGTGTCTACTGTCAGAGCTCACATTTGTGTCTCCTTGTATTTCGTTATGTCTCAGCAGATGTCGGTGGACCCGCAGACCCGATTGCTCCCGTTATTGTCATTGCGCCTCAGAACACCAGCGTGGTGTCCGGGACCTCTGAGGTGATGATGGAGTGCGTGGCCAATGCCAGGTCAGTATGGACAATCATCCAAAGTATTTTCCTTCCTTTATCACGTTTTATCCATGTGCAGATAAAAAAATGTAGATCGACCTGCAGTCCATCAACATGTAGTCACTATCAGGGGTGGACTGACAACTCATGGGGCCCCGGGCAATATGGGATCATGGGGCCCCTGTGTCCTCGTCCACACTCATACCGCACCCAAAAAAGCCTATCAATGGTATCATTTTAATGGGGCCCCCTACTGAACCCAAGCCCTCGGGCAGTGCCCCAAAGGTCAGTCCGCCCCTGGTCACTATCAGCTTTTGATCTGTGGCAGTTGAAGAAGGTGCAGAGCTCAATGCGCAGCTCCGAGGGGCGGGAAGCTGACAAGGCTATGAAGTTCAGGAAGGTGTGAAAGACATAAATTCTGGATCGGATCCCGCTGTTTCCAAACATTACTAAAGTTCCCTTTATGTATTAAATATATGGAAATACCAGGTACCCCGGGGATCAAGGGCACCACATCCCAACAAAAATTACATAATGAAAATGGAAAGCAGAAAGGAATTTCCAAGGTGCCAGATTCACACACGAAATATGTATAAAAATGTATTTAAATTAAAAAGAATTATTTATTAAAATAGAATTATTGTTAACCACTTGACTTCCGGAAGATTTACACCCCCCCCCCCCCCCCCCCCCCCCCCTTCCTGGCCAGGCCATTTTTTGCATTACTTCAACTGACAATTGCGCCCCACAAGTAGAGCTTTCTTTTTGGTGGTATTTGATGACCTCTGCGCTTTTTTCTTTTTGCGTTATAAACAAAGAAAAGAACGACTGTTTTGAAAAAAAAACAGTATTTTTTTATTCTCTGCTATAAAACATATCCAGTAAAAGATAACATTTCTTCATAGATTTAGGCCAAAATGTATTCTGATACATAATTTTGATGAAAAAAATCCCAATAAGCGTATATTGATTAGTTTGCGCAAAAGTTATAGCATCTACAAACTATGAGACATATACTGGCAATTTTTAAAAAACATTTTTTTTTTCAATACTAGTAATGGCGGCGATCAGCGACTTATAGCGGAAGTGCAATATCGATATAAGCGTATATTGATTAGTTTGCGCAAAAGTTATAGAATCTACAAACTATGAGACATATACTGGCATTTTTTAAAACATTTTTTTTCAATACTAGTCTTGGTGGCGATCAGCGATTTATAGCGGGACATGCGATATCAAGGCGGACATTTTTACACTAACTGACATTTGTGGGAACTAGTGACATTTATACAGTGATCAGTGCTAAAAATATGCACTGACACTGTATTAATGGCTGTGAAGGAGTTAAACATCTAGGGTAATCAAAGGGTCAACTGTGTGCTTAGCTATGTGCTTGGTTTACACTAGGTGGGGCTGTTACTATGGGAAGTGAAGGATCATGTTTCCAGCTTTGCAGGGACACACGATCCTTCACTCCCCCACCTATCAGAACAGATGCCTTGTTTACATAGGCAGAGCTCTGTTCTGTGTCCTGCCCGACGATCGGCGGCTGCCAGTGGACATCCATTCACTGGCACTGTGAGTGTTCACAGCAGAAGTGATCCGGCGGCACACGTGCACCCTCTATGACGGTGGTGCAAAATCACTTATATATACGTGATTTTACACAGGAGAGCCGCCCTGACGCAGTAAAACTGCCACAGGACGGACCATAAGTGGTTAAAAACAACACTCTCACGGTATTGATAACTAAAATCATCACAAAATATATATGTGGCTTCAATAAACGTGCAGTGACTTCAACCTAACATATTTCACCAATCATTGGCTTCTTCAGGAGAGTTTAGAGTACTGCAAAGATACGCAACTAGAAGTAAAAGACACATGAAAAAATAGACTGTATATACATAAAGAAAGGGGATTGGGCCTATTGGAGGGCATCTTACCAGGAATACACAGGATCATTAAATAGGTAACAGTCAGGAAACAATTTTTTGTTTGAGCACCTCTAGGATCATCCAGGAGGACATCAGCAAGCCATAGGAGGGGTAAAACCCGTATATATGTCATCCTATAGATGAACAACAATATAGGGATTATAAAACTATAACCCAGATGGTTCCCCAAAGAACACTCTGGCAAAGCCAAGCACGTCACACACAATTCCACTTAGGCTATGCCTACCACTTGGTGGGAATTAAAATGGAGCTAACGCAGAAGGTCCTATGAATCCTCTGTATATTAGCGTCTGTTGATGATCTACAAATTATTTTCTCTCCATTCAGACCCCTTGCCAAGCTAAATATACTATGGAAGAAGGATGGATCTCTTGTCTCCAGCGGGGTGAGCGAATTTGGGCGCCGTCTTACCATCCTGAACCCCACCCTGAGTGATGCCGGCTATTACTCTTGCGAGGTGACGTTACGCAGCAGCAGTGTACCTCCCGTCACAGCTGGAGCCTACCTAACTGTTCTTGGTAAGAGCATCAATGGCATTTCTGGTTGGAAGTTGACCTGTTTGTTAGAAATAGATCAGCCTCTGAATATTAGTTCACTAAATAACAATAGCACTTTGTACATAGACAAGGGAAAATAGTACCGCTCGGATGGCACAGAACTTAAACCGAGTTGGCTGGCGTCTCTGCTCTCTGATGCCGGTTGGGATGAATGCTAGCTCATTAGCCACTGGTTAGGCTACAAGATAATGGCACCCATCTGCAGACAGATCTAGCACACTGAGTCAAAATTAGTGAGAATGGCTTCTCCACCCATAGAAGAACCTTCTCTAATGTGTATTTTCCATGTGGGGCTTAATTGTAGAGGCCTCAGTCCCGCTATCAAAATAAAGTCACCACATTGGATAATGGGGATGGAGGGATGGGTGGCAGAACTCAAAAAGTAGAAATAAAGTCAAGATATCCTACTAGTATTGGATGAGAAGAATTAGCTCCTGCAGTAAGATGGGGTCATGATGTTGGCCCTTGCTGTGAGGTGAGGTTCTTAAGCTGGATTAAAAGATCTGGCTCTTGTTGCAAGGTAAAGTACGAATGCTGGACTAGAAGACCTGGCTTTTTCAGTGAGGTGAGGTACTGATGTACGGTGAGAAGATCTGGCTCCTCCTATGAGCGGAGGTATTGCTGTTGGACAAAAAAAAGACCTGGCTCCAGTTGCAACATAAGGTGCTGATGTTTGATGAGAGAAGACCTGGCTCCCGCTCTGAGGTCAGGTGCTTTTGTACGTCTAGAAGACATGGCTCCTCCTATGAGGGGAGGTATTGATGTTGGACAAGAAGACCTGGCTCCTGGTGTGAGGTTAAATACTAATGCTGGATGAAAAGACCTGACTTTTGCTATGAGGCGAGGTACTGATGTTGGACAAGAAGGCCTGGCTTCACGTTGCATGTTAAGGTGCTGATGTTGGGTGAAAAGACCTAGGTAAGGTACTAATGTGTGAGAAGAAGAGGCTTCTGCTTTGAAGGCAGGTGCTGATGTTGAACAAGAATACCTGGCTTCTGCTTTAAAGTAAGGTATTTAAGTTGGATGAGAAGACTTGGCTTCTGCCATGAGGTCATGTGAGGATGTTGGATGAGAAGACCTGGCTCATGCTGTAAAGTCAGATACTGATTAATTAGAAGACTTGGCTCCTGCTGTGAATTCAGGTGCTGATATTAAACAAAAATACTTTGCTTCTGCTTTGAGGTAAGGTATTTAAGTTGGATGAAAAGATCAGGATCCCCCGTAAGGTCATGTGCTGATGTCAAACGAGAAAGTAAGATCTGTAAGATCAGGTACTGATTGATTAGATGACTTGGCTCAGGTTATGATGCTGAACAAGAAGACCTGGATCTTGCTTTGAGGTGAGGCACTTAAGTTGGAAAAGAAGACCTATTGATGTCAGACGAGAAGATTTGGCTCCTGCTGTGAGTTTAGGTCCTGATGTTAAACAAGAATACCTGGCTTCTGCTTTGAGGTGAGATACTTTGGATGGACATGAAGCCCTGGCTCGTGCTATTTGAAGATCTGGCCCATACTGTAGGGTCAGATACTGACTGATTAGAAGGCCTGGCCCCTGCCTTAAATTAAGATACTGAAGTTGGACAAGAAGTTCTGGCTCTTTCTGTGACGTCAGGTGCTGATGTTGGATGAGAAGACCTGGCTCCTGCTTTGAAGTCTGGTGCAGATCTTGAATGAGAAGACCTGGCTCCTGCTTTGAGGTCTGGTGCTGATGTTGGATGAGAAGACCTGGCTCCTGCTGTGAGGTCCGGTGCTGATGTTGGATGAGAAGGCCTTGCTCCTGCCTTAAGGTAGGATATGCAAGTTGGACAAGAAATATTGGTTCTTTCTGTGAAGTCAGATGCTAATGTTGGATAAGAAGACCTGCATCCTACTTTGAACTCAGGTGCTGTTGTTGGATGAGAAGGCCTGGCTCCTGCTGTGAGGTCAGGTGCTGATGTTGGATGAGAAGACCTGGCTCCTGCTTTGAAGCCAGGTGCTGATGTTGCATGAGAAGGCCTGGCTCCTGCCTTAAGGTAGGATACTCAAGTTGGACATGAAGTCTTTGTTCTTTCTGTGAAGTCAGGTGCTAATGTTGGATAAGAAGACCTGCCTCCTACTTTGAAGTCAGGTGCTGATGTTGGATGAGAAGACCTGGCTCCTGCTTTGAGGTCAGGTGCTGATGTTGGATGAGAAGGCCTGGCTCCTGCTTTGAGGTCAGGTGCTGATGATGTTGGATGAGAAGACCTGCCTCCTACTTTGAGGTCAGGTACTGACGTTGGATGAGAAGGCCTGGCTCTTGCCTTAAGGCAAAATACTGAAGTTGGACAAGACATTCTGGCTCTTTCTCTGAAGTCAGGTGCTGATGTTGGATGAGAAGACCTGGCTCCTGCTTTAAGGTCAGGTGCTGATGTTGGATGAGAAGACCTGGCTCCTGCTTTGAGTTCAGGTGCTAATGTTGGATGAGAAGGCCTGGCTACTGCCTTAAGGTAAGGTACTGAAGTTGGAGAAGACGTCCTGGCTCTTTCTCTGAAGTCAGGTGCTGATGTTGGATGGGAAGATCTGGCTCCTGCTGTGAGGTCAGGTGGTGATGTTGGATGGGAAGACCTGGCTCCTGCTGTGAGGTCAGGTGCTGATGTTGGATGGGAAGACCTGGCTCCTGCTGTGAGGTCAGGTGCTGATGTTGGATGAGAAGGCTTGGCTCGCAGCTGGCATTCCAATTCATCTGAAAGGTGTTTGCATGCCATGTGTAGTGTGTTGTAATGCTGGAGATTCTTCAAGACAGTGTTTGTTTTGTGCATTGAGAAGTGTTGACAGCCCATTTAAAATGAAGGCACTACCTCCACACAACATGCCTGGAGCACAATAACACATTTTACAGCAAATGCTTTACAGGATGCACAAGTGTGAAGGATGCTTACACCTGAATCCCTGATTACTGCTCTTTTTTCATATCAGGTAGTTTCTTACAATGTAATTTAGCTTCGATGTTCCTTTTAAAGAAAATAAAAATATGGCCTAGGGATTTTCTTTTTTTTCACCGTTACATGACAGGTCCTCTTTATGCCACATGTATTTCAGAGTGAAGTTATTAAGCAGGTGCGCTGCCATAAACTAACCGACTGGAGTGTTTCCTGTTCGTCACGAAGAATCCACCATGGGAATACTCTGTCCAATCCAATTATCTATTGGCGGACAGTGTGCGCTAATCTCAATGACACGCCGAGCTTTCTCTAGCAGTTTCTAATTGATTACAGCTCTGTAACGGATATATATCCCTAATTAGCAAATCCCAGTGGCCTGCCGAGTTAGAAGACAATGATTTTTTTTTTTTTTTTTTTAGAAAAGGAAAACAAAATGGTTCCCATTTAAATTGAATCTGTCAGAAGACAAAATACTCATCTTAGAAGCCTGCGGTGGAGGCAGCTGTTTCCCGACCTAGGGAAGGTTCACATTTGTGCAGTGCAGTAACTTTTGAATGAGCTGTCAAAAATCGCACCTGATACGTTTTGGGGAATTTGTGCCATTGCATTACCATGTGCATTATGCCACCAAGCCACAACCAAGGTGATATAGGCTCCTGGCCATTCTAACTTGCAGGTCAGCAGTGGGGGGGGGCATTCCAGGATTCCCTGGAATGGAAGCTTCTATATGAGGTCTCTGAAACAGGTATTTAGCTCTGTTGCGGGTTACCTTTAAAACCTAAGTTCACTGTTTCCCGAATTCTACCTATTTTTAGTACATTTTTGTGTTTACGTTTTGGATAACTCAAGGGAAGGGTTGTATTCTTTGTCTGTTTCATTTGTTATCTTTGTCATTGTTGGGATTTCTCCTCATGTCCTGCTCTGTTGACACCCTGAAACACCAGGACAGGAAATGAGGGGAAATCTCCCCAAAGGGGTCACTGACAGCAATAAATACCCAGAAGAATCTTACAATATTATACCCAAAAAGGGGAATTTATCAAAAGGGGAGCAGTCAGGATCTGGAGCAGTGGTACATGGCAACCAATCAGCTTTTATGAAGATGGATGCTGATTGGTTTCCACACACAGCTGCTCTAGATTCTGTCTGCTCCAGTTTTGATAAATTACCCCCAATGTAAGAATTGGTCAAATTGTAACCATTTTTCTTGGACCATAATGTACTCTATGAAATGTAATGGTGGGATGGGTGTAGGTAAAAATAAAGTCAAGATCTCCTACTATGAGGTCAGGTACTGGCATTGAATCAGAAGAATTAGCTCCAGTAGTATGGTGTGAGGTACTGATGTTGTGCAAAAAGACCTGGCCCTTGCTGTGAGGTGAGGTACTTATGCTGGGTGAGAAGATCTGGCTCCTGCTGAAAGATAAGGTGCTGTTGTTGGATGAAAAGACTTAGCTCCTTCCGTGAGGTCAGGTGCTGATGTTAAATAAGAAGACCTGACTAAAGGTCTTGTCAAGTGTTGATTTTAAACAATAAAGGCACACAAGAAGACCTGGCTTTTGCTGTGAGGTGAGGTACTGTTGTTTATCAAGAAGATCTGGGTCCAGTTGCAAGGTGAGGTGCTGATGTTGGGTGATAAGATCTGGCTCTTGCTGTGAGGTAAGGTGTTGATGTTGAACAAGAAGACCTGGCTCCTGACATGAGGTAAGGCACTGATGCCGGACAAGAAGACCTGGCTTTTGCTCTGAGGCGAGGTACTGATGTTGGACAAGAAGACTTGCCTCCAGTTGAGAGAGTAGGTGGCAATGTTGAGCGAGAAGACCTGGCTCCTGCTGTGAGGTTGTGTGCTGATGTTGGGTGAGAAGACCTGACTCCTACTTTGAGATCAGCTGCTGATGTTGGATGAGAAGACTTGGCTTATGCTGTGA